GATTACAATGGGGAGCAATAGTGAGTGGAACTACTACTGTAATGCGAAGAACAAAAGATAAATCAAATGAAAAGCATGACGAAATTGCGAAAGGAAATTGAATATCTCGCCACGCTATGGCAATGTAGCAATGTGACTCTTTAATGTTTGCAAAAACAGCAAGTTGAATGATCATTGGATTTGCTACACACACTTAACTTGAAAAGCAGCCATTCAAAATGAATCAAAAACTCTCGTGTTAAGTAGAAATTGCAAAAAAATATGGTCGAAGCTATCACGAAGACTTGAACGTGAAGTTTTTACACATTTTAATGGATATGAAGTTCCTTCATAAAACTTGTTTAAAACTATCAAAATTTTTCATTAAATAAGTTTTGTGTATTGAGAAAGTTCGATCTTACATTTAAAATCCTCAATTCTCTTAAACATTTTGGAATTTCTTTAGAAAATAATAACTGTGTCTGAAACTTCTGTTTTTGTACAGTACATAAAGTTAGCTTATTTGTTGTTGAATAGCTCTTAGCTTGTGATAACAAAGCAAGAAAAATTGAAAAAGGGCAATTTCAGCACAAAAAAAAAATGGAAAGGAGAAAAGGAAAATCTTCTCAAAGGTTTGAAGGAAATGACTTTCATAAAACATTTTTTATCCTCATCTCTTCTTATACTTCCAATGTGTATGACAACAAGAATCGTTTTAGTTTATTTTTGTCTTACGTGCTTCAACTTATTGCTCAAAAATTCACATCACGTTCCATCGTCCTGAAAAAAATAACATAAAATAAGGAAAAAATCCTATAAATTTTACTCGAGTTAAAATGAGTAGCATTCAGGCCTAAGCTTTCCGAAATTATTTTCGGTTTTATTTATTATTGACTTTTGATGTGTAGAAGATTTTTCATATATACTGTCATGCTTTCATCACATCTGCGTGCTGGAGTTAGGTGATAATGTGTGTTGCTGTTGTGTGCAAAATTTCTACCTCCAGGCAATAAAAATAGGAAATGATATTGGAGGATTTTGTGATTAGAAAGCCAACGTAATGAAAAATTTGGAATGTGGTTTTGAATTGAGAATGCCAAATTTAATCGAATCATCAAAAAAGCTCCTTCATCACATTCTATAAATGACTTTGTATGTTCTTTAAATATTCTCGTATGCAAGAAAAAATAAATATCTTCACATGTCAGTGATTCTCAATATTTTGAAAGGTAATTTCATTTTACACTCAACATAACTTCTAATTCAGCACGTGGAAAATATTCGCAATATATTTTCTCACTTTATTTAAATTTGGTTGAGTGATTTCATGTGCCAAATTCTCTGTATCACACATATGTACAGTAGCAAGTAGCATATCCTGATTTCATTTTGATGTATTTTAACTTTTTAATTGTTTTCTTTTTTTTTGTAATACATTAAAATCTTATCAATAATTGATCAGCTAATGCTAAGCAAATTCTAGTCTTTAAAAATTTAATAATACACTCAAAATAAATTAATGCGCTGTGCACGTTGAAAGCAATCGTGGAAAGTGAGATTTTGTACTAAATTTCACAATTCTTTCCCAATTTCCAAGGGGGCAAAAACATTGTTGCGTATGTATATCCATATGAAAAATGACTAAAGAAATCGTAAACGCTCTCTTGGTGACAAAAATCCACAAAGATTTCTTCTGGGAGTCCATTTGATCACGTTTACAAGTGCTGTTAAATGAAAGAGAAAGAAAAAAGGGGCAAAAAGGCAAGTTGATTTATAGCTTTTAATAAAAACAAAATTAATGGTATTTTATCTGGAGATTTTTCTCTAGGAAAAAAATGGCATTGGATGGATGATGCTCATAATAATAATAATATCGAGCAGCTTCATGCGACTTTATTTTATAACTTCCATACACACATAAAAGGTTTTGCCAATTCTCTCGGGTCAAAATCTCTGAAAATTAGCGATGTGAAAAAGTTTATGTGTATAAAAGATGAGGCTGCTGGGTCAGCTAAATGAGACATTTCTCTTTCTGTCTATAGACATACATACGATTATTCTTCACGGTATAGTGATGACGAAAAAGGAAACTGATGCGAATTTCGAAGAAATGGACGAAATTTATTTATGTGTATGTAAAGACTGTTCTTATAGAAATTAAAATCATACCAGAACTGAAAAAATGTTGAATAAGAAGAGTAATGAAAAGGTACAAAAAGTCATGTGGATAAAATCTATCTAATATTTTATATTCTATAGCATGTGCATGTTTCACATATAGAAGGCAATCATTGGTTTGTATCTATCGTCTCTATTGATAAGCGCTATAAATTTTTCTTCCACCCTCTTCCATCTCGTGCACATCTCAAACCTGATTTTCCTCATTCATAGCAGGGAAAAAAACTTTTCCATTTCATTGACACATTAAAAATGAGAGCGAAGGAGACAGAAAAGAAGTCGGAAAAGAAAAACCTTTTTCTATCGCATGAGATCAATGAGTTAGTGCTGTGGTGGATGTAATAAATTAAGAAGTGAAGCATAGAAATTGAAATGACAAACAAATATCTACTTTTCTTCTTCTGATGTTTATAAGTTATCATTTTGTGCGTGCATCTAAGACGAAGAATATAATCTCAAAATTAAGCTTTTTTTGAAAGTGGATGAAGTTCAATCGGATTTATTTTAGGATCGTTCAGGGAAAAGTCGATTGAGTTTTATGGTTGATTGTATTTTTTATCGATTATCCTACAAGCATCACCTCAAATATTTTTCCATTGAATTCCGGTAAGAAATGTCAATAGAAATTAAAATAACCAACCTGTCCCAATATTTACCGATTTGAGGTAATTTTCTAATTAATTTTCTCTCTCCCAAGTTCACAATATCAATCATGTATGAGTATTGTTTTCGATATTCAATATTGATTTTCCATTTCTTTAAGTTCACAATCATGTAGAGCAATAAAATTATACACAAAACTATGCTAAAAAGCAATTTGATATAATATTTAAGATGATCACAATATGAGTAGGGCATAAGAATCTGTATCAGTATCTTTAATTGACAGTTATGAGCTGTCGATGAGAAGATATAAAATAATTGAAAATCTCTCCAAAGATCCTAAAGTTTTCTCAACAGAACAAATTTAATTAAGTTCATAAATATCATAAGAGAAGAAACCACAGAGCAGAATATTTTGAGGTAATAAACCAGACAAAAAGTATATTTAACGATAACATGCAAGTGTGTTTATGAGAGATAACAAGCACTATGCGTTAAATAATATGAAAAATTCTATTAGATTCGATAGTTATAGTAACCATAAAATTGCCATAAAAATTTTCCATCCTACTTTTTGCTTACGATGTTCCAAAAAGAAGCAAGAATGAATGCTTGAGTTTTTCCTATTGAAAGAAATTTTTTTATTCTCTCTTAAATCGAGTCGTAAAAGAATATGAGTATAGACATAATCGAGATGTATGGTGTTGGACGAAGGTTACATAAGATGGGTTGACTTTTTGTGATGATTTAAAAAGGGCTTGACACTTTACCTTTTCATTCGTCCTCATTCGAAATGTTTGTGAACAAACGATTTTCTTTCATGCGTGTGTTTTTACTTTACATACATCCACGAACACTTTTTGGGAGAACAAAATCAAATGCTTAAATGTTTTCTTTCTCGACTGCCTGATTTCTCTTTTACTATTTTTCAATATCGTATTCGACAAATTACTAGTTTGTACCTGCACAAGCATGAAAGGAAACTAGTTTTGGATTCGAAAATTGAGTGGGTACTAAGACGCATTATTGAAACGGTGACTAACGCTAAATAAGCAGCCATACTTGTTACCTCTGCAAAGTGCGCAAAAAATGCAATTGTAGCTCCATGAATATTACATAACAATGGAAACTTTTGCTTATTTTTCATGTGGAAGAAATCAACAAGAAATTTCCATAAATTGAAGCCGATTTGTCGTTTCTTTTTTTTTTGATAAAAGGCTTACTGATTCTTATTATAAAATTTTAATAGTTTTTTGGAAAGAAAAAGTATTTTGTAATAAAAAACTTTCTTTTCCCTTTCCTTTTTTTCTTTGTAAAACGTAAAGTACTTGGAACTTTTTTCCCTCATCTATAACTACAAAATAAGTTTTTTCTTTCTTCCTAATTTATTGTTTATTTGTTTTTTTTGAGAAATATTGTTTGAAACTCGTTCATTGCAAGATGTTTAATGTCATAAATTATGAAAAAGTATCGGGATCTTTCTCGGAAGAAAAAGTGTGCAGCAACAATTCAGAAAAATTTTTCTCTGAGTGACGTCAAGCCCAATAGTACGTACCCAATAGTTTGAGAGAAACTTTTGAAGAAGAGAAATAAAAGCAAGAGCGTTTAACGTATGAAGAGCTTTTGTTTGCTTTGCATGATGAAAAATATTCTCTGATATTGACTTCTTTTATTTGACTCTTATTGACAAGTTCTCATTTTTTCGCGCCATTTATTCATAAGAAACTGCTCACTGGGTCCATAACAATGCTATCAAGAGCAAATCTCAAAGCAATACACGAAAGAAAATGAGGGAAAATAAGAAAAACTTTTTTTGCGCGATTGTCGAGAGAATAAAGAGAACTAAAAGAAGCAAAAAGTTTTGTTCTTCTTTTTGTGCTTTTCATTATTGCTGCTCTTAAAATTAGAAGTGGCCACTGAAGTAATGAAAGCGACTCATTTCGCCATTTAAACAGGATTTTTGATAAGCTATACAAAACTGAAAAATTTAAGCGCATTTTCGAATTCACATTTAGGGTTTATAAATAACATGAACGAATCAAGCTGGAATTATTAATGAAGTTCCTCTAAATGACCTTTTTAAGAGCATCTTTAAATGACAGCAAGATTTAAGATTAATTTCGAAGAACTTTGAGTGTTGAACAGAAAAGCTTTTTGTCGATTAAAAATTACTAAACTTTATCCAAGCACGACTGGATTATTATTAAAGTTTGTCTTTTTTTGTCTATATATCATTTTAGATCTGCATAAAAATATCTTAAAGCCATAAATAATCAAACTCAGATACAGGAGAGGAATAGAACGAGAGATATTTAATTACGAAACTATCAGATAGGAAATGAATCAGAATCATACAATAACGATGAATTCACAACAAATTCAACGTCGCCCGTATATTAATTCTCGTGGTAGTGCTCGTGGGGGAAATAATATGAATCATCGATTGCAACGAATATCATTTGGACAAAATCAACAGTCTCATCATAGTCATCGAAATAATAATGGCAATAATAGTGGCGGAAATAGTAATCAAAACAAGGATCTTGATTGCTATAATGGAAATAGTTCTCATTCTGGGTAAGTTATGCAGTTTAATTAACTTTATTTGTTAGATAAGATAAGATAAAATAAATTCTTAGCTGTTAAAATTTATAGTGATAAGATAAAAACTTACTTTCATTTTTGTGCATTTTGGCTCTGAAGCTCTTTTTCAAAATTCTTTTTTTCCCTTTTTAAGTTTGTTTTAATTTTCAATTTTCTGGAATTTTGATTTTTCTTATGCCAAAAATAATTTGTAAAATGAGAAAAATCAATTTTTTTTTTATTCTATGTTGCCTTTCATTTTTCGTATTTTTTTTTTTTGATGTGAAGATAGCTTGATTTTTACATTTGCATAGCAAGGCGTGAAGACTTGGAATTAGTGAATTTTCAAAAAAAAATTTGCACTTTTTTGTATATGTTAAGTTTGAGAATTCTTTTTGAGTTTGATTGATCGATTCTGTGGAAATTGTTTTGTGGTTGAGGGTTTAGAATTCCATAGAATTGGTGCTGTATGATATTCAAGTTATCTTCACAAGTCTGTGATCTTCAAATTATTCTTTAGTTTATTTTCTATGCAGAGAAAACTGTTCTCTCAATTAATTTTTTTGAGAAAGTCAGAGACAAACTTTAATACACCTTAGCACACATACACATAAAAGCTTCTAAATGATAATTAATCATCAAACTTATTATTTTAATTCAGTCTTTTATAAGTGGAATGAGATCTTAGTACATAAATTGATGGAAATTTAGACTGTCGCATGAATAATTCCACAGGTTTTAATTTTAATCCACAAGTCTGCTGAAAACTTTCGAGTTCAAGGCTAAGATCTTGTCAGCTGATAATTGACACTAATAAAAACACAAATCATCACATTTTTGATTGAACCAAATTTTATTTTCAATTTATCTGTCTAATTTAGTGAATACGTTTGTGAATTATCATCCTTATGACTGTCTTGACTGTTTATATACATATAGGAACATAGAAAGCTTCAATTTTTTAACCTCAAATAAAATGAATTTTTGATGTGTCTTGTCGCAAGATTCTTTATTAATTGTGCATAATTCTTTAAAAATATAAACATTTTTATGGTGATTGAGAAGCTGCACTGAATTAGAAAAAAATACTCATTTGTGTTTTAAAATCTACTTTTTTTCTCGTTTGAAAGCCCAGATATTATAATTATTCGAAGAATGCTTTCTCTCTCACATACAATTATTCATACACATTTCATTCACGCTTTTAAACATTTTTTTTTGTTTTTTCTATAATTTTGCAATCATGCATTTTATGTGTATCTATTATTTCCTCCTTTACTCTTGAGAAAATTGCGAATTCCTTTCTTTTTTGTGCATACACATCGGTTGAGTTTTAAAAAGTTATGTGAAGAATTTTTCATAATTTTGTGTGCCTTGTAAGTTTTTCCTTGAGAATTTAGTAACGTAGGCGTTTCTTTGGAGTTGTATGTTAAGTTTTAATTGAACTTATGAGTAACTATGACAAAGTTGTTTCTGCTCAGTATTTTATTGGCATGCTTTAAAGATTAAACTAATTCCAAGAACTTTCAATTCTCATCTACTAAAATACTCGATACTTGATTATTCATCAATTTACGTGCAAATATGGAAAAAAATCAAACTTAATTAAAATCTATTTTAACTTCATATGAAAATCCAAAAAGCAAACGATGCTCTGACAATTTCGATTTGATCTCTCAAAATATGCAGATTCTATGCTTGAAATTTTAGCCTAACAATGCGAAAAAACTTTTTCATCATTCCACTCACATCGTACTCGAGCAGAACCTAAAAGTGCGGTGGAAAACTTCTCCATCCGATTATTAAACTTTATTTCAAAAACTTTAGTAATTTTTGAAAATTATTTTTATGGTTTTATTGCTCTCGTTAGCAACATTTAAATAATAATTATATTTGAAATGCTAAAAATTGTCAAACTTTTTTCATGTTATGTGTATACACTTAAATTAATTTTCTATTCACATTTATTTTTAATACGAAGCTCATCAAAATGCTTTAGTTGCAATTCTCCCCGCTCATAAACAAAGTACTCAAGCATAGACATACATTATTTTCACTTAGTGATTTTAATTTTTCTGCAAATAAGAGTTTATACAATGAAATTGACCCATCCATTCTCCTCTCTTTTTTTATGTACAGAAATATAATTTATTTAATATTATCAAATTTTTTCTGGTATTCTTTCGATTGTTGTCCGAAAACAACTTTTCGCATCTCATTTTGGTTCTATTTGCTGTATATGCAAAAAAGGAAGAAGCGAAACAAAATAGGGGAAATAAGAAAGAAAGTAATTTTAACACAAGCTAGAAAAACTGAAATATCAGCGCAATTTTAGAAAGAAAAGAATTCATATTCAGTCAGTCAGACATATACATTATGTATGTTGTTGTTTTAAATGAGAAAGAAATGCATTAAAGAAAAATTTAAATATTTAAAACAGCACTTTTCTGTTTTATGTTCATAAATTTTTTCTTTCTTCTCTATCCACCCACAAAAAACCCTCAGTTTTGAGAAAATATTCATAGAATTTTTTTTATCCCAAACCAAATGAGAAACTTTCTTTTATTTTTATTTTCAAAAGAACGGGAAAGAATCTTAAGAATTGTTGTCGGAAAGCAGAAAAATTCTTTATGTTTGATGTTTTGAATCCATAAATAATTGAAAAATGGTCTGAATTGAGGCAGAAATTTTCGTCACCGAATAAAAGGATATCATTTAGATAATTCACAAAAAATAATAATAATAAAGTTCCTTCTTCTTATCGCATTTATAATTTTCCATTTTTCTCTTTCTGCTCGACATTGACCCCAACACATTTATAAAGTTTCTTTAGATTAAGCTATCTTTTATGCTAAATGATTTTTACGCTTTGATAGTCAAGAATTTGTCTTGACAAATTTTGACGCTTTTGATTTTTCGTCGAGCAATTAAGTGATTGTGGTTGATGATACAGATAATCGCCTTTGAGGCAGAATTTAGAACCCTTGAAGATTTATTATTAATCACCTAATATGTCAAGCTTCAAAAAGGATTATGCTGTATATATAAAATTAGAGATTTGTCAGGCTTTAAGTTTAACTTTATAGACATCTTTAGTAATTATGTGGACAGGACAGCATCATATTGAAGAATTTTTCTTATCAACTAATTTCTAAAGTTTACCATAAAGGCTTATGTGCTGCTAGGACAATCCATCCGTCTGCAACAATAAAAAAAAATACCCAAAAGTTTGTTCCTTATCATTATTATTTCAACACTTTCATCTGCTCTAGACTTTCCTCAAAAAAATTATTCATTCCGTTGTTTTTCTGTATTTTTCTTATTTTTCCTCTTCTAATTCAAAACAATTTTTTTATTGTCATTCTTTATTCAGTTGTTGTACCTCCTTTAATTTTTTTAGTTGACATAGAATGAAAAAGAACTCGATGAAAAAAAAAATTCTTTATTTATTATTTTTATATAGAGATAAAGAGTGTTTATGTATGATGATGATGATGAGGTTGAAAAAATGAAGTTATTTATATTGTTATGTGTCTGTTTCATGTACGTCTCATGACAATGAATTATTTAATTGTTTCATGTTTGTTTTTAGGACTGAATTTTAAATGCATTTGAAGAAATTTTTTTTAACTTCATTTTTTCAACCTCACTCAGCGAGCACAAAACTACTGGAAATTGCTCTCTAGTAGTGATAATACACAAACCAAAAATCAAAGAAAATTAAATTAATTAATTGATATATAAATACATAAATATTAAACCTACTTGGAATGGCTTGTAGTAGATGATTAAATAATGACAAAAATCATAATTTTTTTCTAACCATTTGTTAATGTTTTGATATTCTATATATACATAAATGTATTTTATTAGATATTTTCATATATATATAATTAAACTATATATATAAAGTGCAAATTCTGTATTAATAATGGTTTTGGTTACACTTTTTTATAATTCATAAAAATCCACTTTAAGAAATTTAAAAACAAAATTTAAAATTAAAAGAAAATATCCCTTTGCCTTTACCCCTCTTTATCTATGCCAACACATATATTACACTCACTTTTTTCATTAGTTTCGTGCTTGCTGGGTGCTTTTATTGATATATTACATAAAATAATTTTTATATTTATCTGGATATGTAAAGGAAGGATTTATTAATTTTTATTTGTTTAATTACAGCATTACTTTTTCTATTTAGCATAAAATAATTAACCAGCAAAAAGCGTTGATTAACCTAATTATTGCTGCTTTTGGCATATATTGTATATCAGAAATGAAACTCTTAATTTGTGTTTGTGTTTTTGGATATTATGACTCTTTATAAATATTACATTACATGTACTTTTTTACCATTTTTTATTATTATTCTTTATTTTTTCATCTATCCTTTTTTAATAAGATCACATTAATGAGATTAGGACTAAATGATGACATTTTTGGGTGTTAATAAAAAATGGAAAAGGTTGTGAATAACTTTAATGTACACTTTTTAAATTGTTTAACTTTTGTTGCATACAATTGGATTTATTCATATTGAAAATTAATCAGTAAAATTAGAACTTTCATTACTAACAACTTAGATAAATCAAAAAATAATAAAAATTATATAAGTAGAATAACTGACACGCAAAAATTCAAGTTTTAATCTCAATTAATGTCATCATTTTTCAAAGTAATTAATTTATTTCCTTTAGGGTGTAAAAGTGATGATTTATTTGTAATTGAGGTGTTAATTGAGTATCAAAATGACTTTCAATTAGCTTATTTATATTCTTACTTAATTTCCCAAAATGGCTTGCAAGCTATGATAATATTACATTTTTTTCATGAGTTTGGATCTATTTGAAAACTTTCTTAATTTCATCTAATGATTTTTTTTTTGTCAAACCTAGTATTGGACGTTTTGCTGAAAGCAATTTCGGTTTTTAATTTCGCTCACCGTATTTTTGGCACCTCAATGTTAAATAAATTAAAATTATACTTTCACACCCTAAATTTATATCTACTAGAAAAAATTCATAATTTAACAATTTTTGATGACAAGAAAAAGATGAAAATTTTTTCATTTCCTATTTATTTATTTCTTTTTTCATGAGAGATATTTTGCTAGAAATTAAAGATATGTGATAATTAAAACGAGAGTTAGTTTCATTTTTGTTGTAAATCGGCCTGTGATATGCATTTTTGATACTTTTGTACCTCTTTTATTTGTGACTTTTTTTGATTCAAACTGCAAAGCAATTAAAAAAGTGATATGAGATGAATTAGTTGTAAAAACTCATGTTAGCTATTAATCATTTTTCTTTAATTTGTTTATTTTTGATAGAATTTTGGTTAATGGATTTAATTCTAAGGAAATTTTTTAAGCAAAATTAAAGTGTTTTTTTGGTATAGTCTTGAAAAAGAAATTATTTTCACAGTAAGAAAACAGTATTACTAATAAATTAATCACATTCTTGTTTCATATAAATCCCATCATTGTTTCCTATTCATTTGAATATTATTTAATTGCAATCCCATCAATGCTAAAAATAATTTAAATCCACATGTACACATTATTTTTTTGTGTTATTTAATCTGTTGTGGAATTCATGATAAATTTTTCAATTTTCTTCTTTTTTTAAATAAAATATACGAATGACTAAATTGAAATAAATTACTTTAATCGAGTGATGATGATCAATGTGATTCATTCTCTATGAAAATATCATTCGCTGATTTATTTTTCAGTAAATTGAAAATTTAATTTTCGGAATAATAGCCATGTACATATTTTTGAAACTTTTTATTTTTTGGAGATGAAATTTCACTCTTGACTATTTTGATGATCTCAGAAATTTTTGAGCTAGGTCGAGTTAAAGTTGTATGCATTTGTAGTAATTTACAAGCAAGTTTTATAATAATTTGAATAGGTTCTAGTTGTCTGAAAGTGAAATCTATAGAAGTGAAATTTTTAATCAGCTTATAGGATTTACAGCTCAACAAGGTGATTATCAGCCATTTTAGGATAATTCATATAGTAAAAACTGTACATATTGTTCATTTTCATCTCCAAATTTAAACATTTGATCAATTTATTCTGAATTCCGCACGACCTGTAGTAGACACATTCAATATTCACCGATTGAATGATTATTAAATAATTTTAAATAATAAGTGAATGGGAAAGCTCCTTATATGTTCATGAGTTTCTTAATTTATCATCTTTACCTTTCTATTCTTTTCTTTTTAATTACTTTTTACCTTTCTTATGATGTAATGCAAATAAAACAAAAAACATTAAAAGAGTCATTATTAATTAAAAGTGGCAGTGGAAGTTGTGTTATGTATGCTACCAAATGATACAAAAATTGCTAAAATAATTTCATCTGTAGATTTACATATACTTATAATAAAGTTGTATGAATTTTTTGTAATATTTTCTTAATATCTATATATACATATATATAAAGTTGTTTAACAAATAAAAAAAATATAAGACTGATGCAAAAAAGTTTTGATTCGCAAGTGATGTTCACCTAAAATAAAACAACCAAAAAATTATTGTTTTTTACTATCTACTTATAAAATCAAATCTATTTCACCTTCATCATTTTTGCAGAAAGTATGTGAAGGGAAGATGGAAGTACTGTGAAAAAGAATCTGGACACAGTGTGTATGAATGAATGCTTCATTCATTGTTGCTCTTTCATTGTGCTGTTAACCATTTTAAATGCCTCTCTTATCTGGCTATTTTTATATATATATATTATATCCTGTGACCATTCTGTTTTCTATGAATTTCCACTTCCCGCTACATGAGAATGAAAATAAGAATGGATATTAAAAGCTTTTTACAGTAATGGAGACCTTTCTTTCCTTTTATTTCCTTTAATAGCAAAATAAAATATTTATTATGTGTGATTCTTTTTTACAACTTAAATTTCGTAAATAATAAAGCCTGTTCTGGGTCAATAGTGTCCATTACATTCGGTTCGAAGATTTTGCATGACTTTTTGACTTTTATCATCGTTGTGACTTAAGAAGCACTGGGGGTCTCTGACTCTCGAGGACTTCATTTTCTGAGAAGAATTTTGTTTTTAAAACAATCAACCTTTAAACATTCCCTTGACTATTGAAAATCAACCAGATTAATAAATCAATATTGACTCCAACAATCTTTGAACTCGAAAAAGAAAACCTATTGACACAGCACAGTACAGAACATCTGTTTAATTAATTATTTTATTTTTTGCATTCGGTGAAGAGAAATCCAAAACTTTTGCTTGTTGATAGTGATGTTGTGTAATTTTATTCTAATATTTTGTTACATATTTTTTGGAAGATGGGTTTGAGTAAAAAAAAATTAAAACTTTAAATTTTGTCACATGTTTTCTCTCTGCTGAATGCTATGTTGTTATTATTGCAAAACCAAAAATAAAACCAACCGTAAAAAATAAAACAAAACTTGGCTGATGGGTGCTGACAAAACTATTGTAAAAGTAAAAACCATTTTAATGGAAGTATTGAGAATGCATCTATTTGTTGACCTTAATATAATTACATTTTTCTTTCATTTTAGTTTAACATTGCAGTTTACACAATGATACACACCTATATAATTTTATTTACACTTAATTTTCTGACGGAGATGATTTTTAAGAAATTTTGAAATTTTTTTCTTGAGCAAAAAATTTATGCCGGTTTAAAAATAGGAACATTATAAATACTTTCTTTATTTCGCCTTTTCAAATCTATTAAAAGAAATTCTATTTTGATAGCAATTAATTAAGATTTATTTCTTCAGAGATTGAAAGTTAAATAAAGATTCAAATGAATTTTGAAATTCTTTCAATGTCTCAAAAACAATAATTCTGTTACATAACTTTAGTTGTAGTAGCTTACATAAATTATATTTTTTTAATCTGATAATGCTGAGAATTATTACTGAACTTTTCATTAGAATCGTCGTCGGATATCATGCCCTTTCATCTTCAACGAATCAATAAGGTTTCTTATCGTTAAAGCACGTTTTGCATAGAATAGTAACCAAAAGAAAAAAGTTGTTAACTTAATCAAAAAACATTTTTCTCATTTCTTATCTTTAGAGAAATCCTTTCCAGTCGCTTCTTTTTTAAAAAAAATATTAGATGTTATGCTCTGTAGATGCTCTGAGAATCCACATTGCTCAAGAAAAAAATTTCAATTAGAATATAATTTTAGAAAGATGAATTTAATCTATAGCGCATGCTTTTATTTCTTTTTTTCTCTTTTTATGTTTTTTTTCTTACCATAAAAAATTTTTGGGGGTAAATGTGTAAAAAATTGATGCAAATAAAAAATTGATTGGACTTTGGCTGTAAAATTTTTCTTATGTTGTTTATTATTTTGTGTAAATAACAAAACAAAACTTGAATATTTTTTGATTCCTGTCATCTACACATCACATCTTGTAAAAATCACCAAAAAAACTAAATCAAAAAAAAACTTTTTAATTTTTTTTTTTATTAAAACAACTATTGCGTTTTGTTTATCAAATTGTGCTCGTGCTCGTGTTTATTCTTAATTTTCTTTTTATCATTTGTCTATACAAAAACTGAAAAAAAAATTACAAAAACTTTGAAATCAAACTTTGTCAGTGAGAATGGTATTAATATAAATAGTTCACAACAAAAAGATAACAACTTAATTACAACAAACAGTTCTGAATATTTCAATAATAATAATTTAAATAATTTGAATCCATATGCGAAATCAACAAATTCGACATCAACTTCAATCTCATCATCGCCAACGATTGAACTTCGCATTCTTATTCCTAATTATGATGACTTGATGGATACTATCAGGAGTCAACAGCCACATACATCACGTCCTGGTGGTTCCGGAATGCAAAATGATCGACGTAACATGATGAATGATCGAAGAATGAATTCCATGATGGTGAGTTATGTCAATTTCTAGTATGTGTTGAGTCTTATCGATATCATCCCTATCATCAATGGGGTTGAAAAATTGTAACAAAATGTAACATAGGGTGGGAGGGGGGTGTCAAGAAGTATGTAACGCTCTAACGTTGTGAGTTGTAACATATTGTAACAAGGGGGGTAGGGGGGGGGGGTAGAAAAAAGTCGTTTAATCTATTTAAAGAAAAATGATCTGAAAATAAATTTTAATCGAATTATAACTTTTTGCTAAAATTCTATAGAATCACTATGATTCGTCGTCATCGTCACATCGTAGTTCAGATATGATGATGGATAATCGTCCATCAGATGGTCATAGAAATAACAATATCAATAATCGAGATCGGATAAGTCCTCATTCGAGTAATGATTATTATCAAGAGAATCAGAACAATGGTGGACCAAATATGAAATCGGATAGTCCCTCTCGAAAGCGTAGACGATTACAACGAATGCCAAGTCAATCACCACCGACAATTTGGGAAAACAACGCTCACTCTCATAATAATCAAATGATGCAAAACCAAAATCAATCAAATCAAAATGGTTACCACATCAATAACGGCAACAATAATTTAAACAACATAAATAATAATATTAATAATAATAATAACAACATTATTAGTAACAACCAAAATAATCTTAATCTAAATCGTCGATTATCAATTCGACAGTATAATAATATAATTCCTAATAATAATAATAATAATTTGAATCAACAACATTCACCATCAATTCGAAGACAACGATTCCGTGATCAACCACAGCAATCTCAGCAGCCACCACGTCCATGGGATATCAATCCAACACCTATTTTCCAGGCTTCACCACCGCACCATAGTCAACATCATACATCCCATATGATGGAGATGAACCATGTACCAGTAAGCTTACCACTAAGCCATCACGAGCAAATTTGGACTTATCCAGCGCCGCATATATCGATATGTAAGGACATCAATTTTTAATCCGTTTTGGAGAAAGTTTATTTATTTTTTGTATTTTTATATGCAGCTCCAGCAGCTCCCCATTTGCCTCCATGTCAAGTGCAAAATGTATATTCGCAGCCATTTGCTCAAGCTTGTAATCTGAATGGACATCATTTCATGCAACCGCATACACAAATAACAGCAACACCACATCATCAACCACATTTTCAACATTTGGCGCAACAGGTGATTACTTGCTGAATTGAAAATTGATTTGAAAGGAAATAATCGTATTTTTGTCCATCTCTCTCTCACTCTCCCTTTGCCCTACTTGATTTCATTATTACAAATTATACAGAGTGGTCTACATATGGAAGGAATTGATCATCATGTGACTCCATTAACGCATTTTAATTCAACACAGATGGCACAAATTTCACCACCACAACCGATTTTCATTTCCACTGAGGGTCGACCAAATCAAATGGAATTGTTGCATCGTACAGCAAGACGCATAACGGCAGCACGAAGAAATTTTACACGATTCCATTGGTCGCCTACACATCCAACGCCACATTTACATGCACGACAAATACAGGCTCATATTCCACACCAAACTCCATTGCCATTACAAACTGCATCCGCTTATTCCGGAATTTTACTTAATTTCTTGTAAGTCTTGATACTTTTTAGACAGCTGGTTAGATTTAATTGATTAATTGCTATTTCCACAGAGCTATGTTCCCATTGTCGCCATATGGTCAACCAGAAACTTACTCGCCTGATTCCAACGAAACTGAGAATTATGAAGCTCTTTTAAGCTTAGCTGAACGTCTTGGCGAGGCTAAGCCACGTGGATTGGGAAGATTAGAGATTGAACAACTTCCTAATTATAAATTTAATGCTGAAACTCATACAGGTATGTCAGTTGCTAATTGAAAATACCCAAAAAAATAATTTTCAATTTTAAAATAATTATTTTTAATGAACACATAACCGTTGTTATTTTATGAGATGATAATTTTATGTCCAATCGCTTACAGGCGACCAAACATCATGTGTTATCTGCATTTGCGATTTCGAGCCACGACAAACTTTGCGTGTATTGCCATGTTCACATGAATTCCATGCAAAATGCGTTGATAAATGGTTGCGGGTAAGTTTCTTACATGCAATATTATGTTTTGGTCATTTTGTGTTTTTCATAAATTATATGATTCAAGATAGGAAATGGCTCAGTCTTGCTTCTAGGAGGCGTTATAGATATTTATAATTAAATTACCGAATTTTCATCGCTTTTACTTTCTTCTCTCACATTTAATTACAGTCTAATCGAACGTGTCCAATATGTCGCGGAAATGCATCAGATTATTTCTCATCAGAGAGTGGTAGCGAAGAGCAATAAGTACACTAAAGAGGAAATTCTTCTTATTTTCATATTTTCTAATTCAATTTCATTTATATAAATATCTAAACATAATAAAATGTAACGAAAATTAATGGGAAAATGTCGCAAAAGAAAAAGAAAAAGAAAAAAAAATTAGCTGGCGGAAGTGAAATGAAATATGAATCTGGCTGATGTATACGTCTATTTATATTTTTGATTGTTGAAATTAATATAATTAAATCATGTGAAAAATGCGACATCAAGTGGATAAAATCTCTCATTTTTTAATTCAGAGCTGAATGAAAAATGGGAAAATATTTAATAATCGAAGCAGAAGAAATGAAAAAAAAAATTAATTGAAATTTAACGAAATAAAAAAAAAATCTGTTGCTTTTTGTGAAATTGAAAATGACTTGAAAATGTCTGAAATATTGCATGACTTTCCACTGAACAAAATCAAAAACGAACTTTTCTTAGAGATAGCTACAAATACACTAGTTTGCCAGACAAACATTCTCTAGTCATGAACCAGGCATTTTTTGGTCATTATGCATGACTAAGGACTCAGTTTCTCTAATCATTCAGAGATGTGTAATTAAATATCATTTGAAAAACTGATCCACAACCTAAAATTGAATTTTCATATTTGTTTATTGTTGATCGCATCACTTATTTTATAACAGCATTCAACTATAAAGGATTTACTATGCAATGACTGTGAGATAAATGAAAAAATAATATAATAGTAAACTTTAACAGACATTTTCACAAGAATTCTTTTAGTTCCGCAAACAATAAAGCTGAATGGCATGAAAAATCGAATGAAGGTCAAGGTGATGAACAATGTATGCTGTAAAATGTGATTTATTTCCTTATTCTTGTCCGTGCACTCCATAATAATGTCTCCATACTTAAAATATATCCTTGAGAAAAGTTCCTTCTGTGAATTATGAGTGTATGGACGAAGAAAAATTTGCTCTAAATAAACTTTTCATGCTATTCAAACACCAAGCAAATAAAATAAAATAATAAACCGCAATTCCTGATGCACTGAATGTTGATTGGCGTGCGTGTGTGTGATGATATTAAAAAACATCTTTTTTACTAAATCATAGATTTTTTCGTGTATTTTTGCTAATTGTTACCAGCTCTCCCTGAATGTTACAATTGCTGGCCAATTAATACGCTTTTTTATTAAATAGATGAACATAATGAAAAGTTTTTGCATGAAAAAATTTAATACCAATTATCATGATAAAGAAGTACATTTATAAGATGAAAAACAATTATAATTATACAAAAAAGTATGTTTGTTGTGTCACAGTAAACAATTAAATAAGGTTTTTTCTGGCAATAGAGATTTCAACATATTAAAGTTGCTATGACATCAATATGGCTGATTATATATCTTCAAAAACGAATAACTATAATGAATTTTTCACCATGTTGATTTCTCTCTTATAATATCTTTATCAATTTTTTTTTTAAATTAATATATCGTATTTTTCTCTACCATTAGAATAGACATAACAATGAAATACTGGGAAAAATCGAAATTATGAAATTCACCTGCAATTCCAAATAATAATAATAATATGTGAAAAGCACACGCAAAAATAAGAAATGAGAATCTTTATTGACTTAAAAATTGAGGAATATCATCCAAAAGTTTACAAATTTTCCTCATTAATTCAGAAAAGATTCCCTTTCTTGGCATAAAAAAGTATAATTTCTAAAGCTTCGAGGTACATATATATAAAAAATAAATAAATGTAAAATGAATTCCAACATCAATCAACATATTATAAGATGATAAGTGAAGTGAAATATAAGCAATAATAATCAATAAACAATTTAGGAAAATCGTATGTATGTATGTTTACACGTTAATAATTGAGAAATATTCCTTCATATGCACTTCTATCATCGAGTTTAGTTTCGAATTATCTTTAAGTCTTCCAGGCTAAAGACATGAGAAAATCACGCATCTATCTCTTCTATTGCTGTTCTCGATATTTTTTCTGTTTGAAAGAAAACCGATTAACTTATATCATATACAAAAATATGATTTTCAAAAACATGAAGAGGGTTTCTCTGTGGTTTGAAGTCTAAATGTCAGTCGTTCAAGCTGTGCTAATTCAGAAAGCCTTGACATCATTTAAAACATTAAAATTCATGAAGAATCGATATGAGTTTAAGGGTGTTGAGAGAATAATCTGTTTGAAGGCAATCGTCAAGCAGCATCTACTGTTGATATTTCATCATGTACTGTATTTCTTTCATGTATTTCACCAAATCGCAAAAAAAAAATCATTAAAAATTTTTCAGGAGCTTAAGAAAGAAAGTCTTGATATGTGTTTCAGTAAATCAGAATTTAAAATTAAATTCATGATGAAAAAATCTAGTCATAGATTCCGAATAAAATGCAGTTGATAGATAGGAAACTCTAGTCTCAGTTGCCCGAAAAATACTTAAATTTAATAATCAATGATGCAAAGTAGTTTAAAATATGTTACAAATAAGTCTATCAAAACAAATGCAATTTTACGATTCCCTCATTATTTTTAATTACTATTTAAAGCGTTCAGTTAACCAAGAATCTAAATAAGCAAGTCACATTTTCCCCATAAATTTCTGAATTTAAAATTAATGTTGATTATTTTGACCTAAAACAGTTGTTGATAAAAACTAAAATTTTAACTGCACTTCAAACGAATTCAGCTTTAACCCATAATATTCAATAGCTATAATAAACGTACGGAAAATAAACTTTCTTCTTGCCAAAAAAAAAAAAACATTTCAGTACAAAAGACAGAAATAAGATTTTCTTTCTTTAAGCTTCTGACCAACTGCATATGTCTATAAAATTATTTTTAAATTGAGAAACCCATACATACTGACGTATACTTTCCATTAAGCTTTCATCAAGTCTTTAAAAAAATTCTCAAAAAGAAGATATTTTTCATGCTGCGAAATTTACACTTTTTTCTTTAAAATAATCATTTTGAGTGTGCCATTAATTCACCACATGTTTTCGCTTTTTCTTCGTGACATTTTATTTACATTTTTTTGAGAAGTTAAAATCATCAAGTGATATGTCTCTCGTGTGTTTTTTTTTATGATTAAGTATTGATAATGTTAATATTAATGAATCCTTTTTTTGGATATTTTATTATGATTACTGGTGATGGGAAATATTTAAGACTTTTTTTTCAAATTATCTTTTTATTATTCTGAAAGTGTATTTTGTTGCTTAGTGGGTAAGCTATTAAATATGAGAGCGAGAGGATCTTAATGAAAAATTGAATACTTTTCTTCTATAAAAATTAATTATGTATAAATCAATTCCAAAATGAACACCAAAAAATACAGAAAAGCATTTAATGAAGAGAAATGTTTCAAAAATCTACTATACCAATTAGATATACTCTAGCTTCTCTGGATGAACATTTTCTATTCAAATTTTATTAAATTTTTTACATTTTAAAGATTTTTGGAATGCAAACAATTTTTTATCTCATTTGATTGGATTTTTCAATTTATACGTATAAGAATGACGTAAATTTATGGATGATGAACTGAAAATGTTCAATCCTGAATAGCTGCAAAAATATCGAATAAACTCAATCGCATAAAAAATTAAGAGCTTACCCGAGAAGAAAAGGAGATAAAAATGTTCAACATTTTATTTTAGAAGCATTTAATTCAAATTTTTTTTAGTTCTGCCTTATTTTCTTAATTACTAAACTTTAGATATAAACGAATTTCTCACCTTATCATCGTGTCTTAAATATATTATCTTTTCTTCCGTATAATTGCAATTTAATTTAGTTAAGTTTTCTTTTCTTTCTCCTTCACGCTCGTTTCTCTGTCCGCTTAGCGTTAAGATAATGTGATTAAATCAATTACTATTCCTTTAATTGCTTCAAAGCTATACGCCATGTTTCAGTTCTTGTTCTCTTTTTCAAACCCTCATTTTTTTGGTATCCGAAACGAAACTGAATAAATATTATATAAATTTTCACGAGCTTTCCACCTCCTCCTGATCCGATTTTTTCTTATGATTATTATTATAATTTCTTATACCTTCTTGTTTACGGATATAGGCAATAAAATTTCTTGTTATTTTTCCTGTTTATTGCTTAGTTGATTTTCTCGCATTTTCTTGTTTTTCTCCCAAAGATTTATAAACACAAAAAATAAAATAAATTACGAAAAAAATATGAGTATAATTTTCACTTTGCGCATTTTTTTCATCCAATGTAATAAAAAAACAAAGTAAAAGTAAAACTACATTTAAATTTCTGGGATAAAAGTTACCAAATAATAATTTTTTAATGCATAAGTAAATGTTAGAAAGCTTTCATTTTTTATTATAATAAAAAAGACATTTTTAACAACAAAAAAATACTAATTTGCTTATTAAATTTATTTATGATCTCGTTTATGGTGTTTTTTGAATGACTTTTTTTTAGATTTCTTATTCCTCCCTATCTCTTTAGTCTGTGTATTTTGCTGCATTTAAATAAAGTGTTTTTGATGTTTCTTATTGAATTATAGCGTACCTAGGCAGAGGTAACATATTTGTAATCTAGATTAAGCTTATATTATTCCTGAATGAACCCTCATTTAAATTACTTCAATAATGAACAATTTTTCAACCATTTTACGGGAGTTGATCACTTATAATGTCTAGATCTGTTGCGTAACAAGGTTCAATGGCACCTCTGGCAAATTACCCACTTGCCTAAACTTTTTTACATCCTTCAATTATAGAAATGAAACTGTAATGAGTATGTTCGGCATTTGTGAACAACCCCATATGCTAAATTACTATGTATTGCTTCTCAAATATTGAAATAAATTACCTTATTAATAAAAATAAAGTTTATATGCACCGCTGGGATTTAAAAACAATTTTTTTATTTATGAACTTTTATTTTCCTCAATCTCAGCTACAACAAGAACCAGCAAAAATGTTTAAAGAATTTTATGGCATATTTGGGTGAGCTGAAGTGGCTCGGTGGCGGAATGGTTTAGTACTTCGGTACCTAATTATTGCAATACCGACACAGCGATCATGGGTTCGAGACTGGGTATGGGAAATTTTTCACTTGTTCTTTTTCGAATCATATGTACTGGAAATGAGGCTCACAGCCTTCCTTTGTAGGCTACAGACAGAAATGTCATCAAAGGAGTGGTTCGGATCCCACTATAAATTGTAGGTCTAGGTTTGAGTGCAGTGGTTTGGCGCATCCTCACTCGTTAAACTCTCATTAGCTGCGAATCGCCCTAGCGCACCTCTGGATCACAATTGATCTGAATAGGTAAAGGTTTTTTTTTTTTTTTTTTTTTTTATGGCATATTCGCCTTGCACAAATCACTCAAATAAAATGTATATTAAATGTTTGTAATGATATTAAATAATCTCAAGCAAGGATTATTATTATAACACCCACGGTTATTTTGTGAGTTTCTAGGTCAACTAAGCTGTAACGGTGATGCTTATTGCTTAAAAGTAACTCCGGCATATTGCCTGGGAAGTGTTTTGATATAAAATTCAATGTCTGCATTGAGAGACTATGCATCTGCTCAACCCACATAGCTGTCATCATTAGTACTATGGGATGGATAAGAGGATAGCGGAAAATTTATATCTGTTTAAATCTGCATTAAAAATAGCACCAAAATTTATTGGAACGGCATTGCAAAACTTTAAATACCACAGCTCAGATAATTCCCATGCAGCTCAATAAAATAACGGACTGCATCATTGCATTACCATTTGCCTAGATGGGATTAAGCACTGGCCTAAATAACAATTACAATAAATCCTATATGCTTCTGTGTATTAACAGTTTTTCCTCACAAAACTTTAATTGTTTTTTTTTTCATCCTTCTTTCCACATTTTCATTTTGCAATTTGTTATGTGCTGTAATTTTTTGTGAATGGTCAAAATTGCAGTTTGTAATTGAAATTTTTTTCCACAACCAATTCCCATTATGTCGATTACAGAGTGAATTTATATTTCAAATAGAATGTAAAAGTTAATTATCCTTATGATTCAAATTCACAATTCATATAGCTGTACAATTTAATTTGTTCAACTACAATCTATTTCTCGGCAGTAGCATAAAAAAATGTGTAATAATAAACTTTTCGCACACATAAGGAGGAAAGAATATGAATAATATAAAAAGTAAAGTTATAAAATATGTATCATGTTATTCATATATGAGCTTTTGCATGCAATAAAAAATGAATATTTTCTTCGTGTTATCAAGACAAAAGAAAACATGTTGTTTGCAATACTTAATGATAAGAAAAATTGAGTTTTTCAGGAAGCTAGGAGGCATAACTTATTGTTGTAAGTTTTGTCTTTTGTCATTCAATCCAGTGAAATTATTTTTGTTGAATTCTTGATATAAAGGATAAATGCATAATTTATCCTAGATCGTAATTTAATTACAATATGAATACAATAAAAATAAGTTCAACTCAATTAATTCTTTTTCAGCATATTATATTCACACCGTTTTCACGTGTGAATCTATTGGTTTTGTTCAGATTGAAAAATCAGTTTTTCGCATTTTGTGAGAAAACGAAGCAAAATTGGTTATAAAATGTCCAAGAAGAAAAGTTTGTGCCTAAAATTTTACATCATTTGCAAAAAACAGATTTCACAAAAATTCTGTAAGCAAGCAAACAAGCAAGTTAATCAGCAAGAAATCTCAATAACGAGACATTGTAGAGACTTCTAGTTTTTTACATTTGATCCGTGCTGCTCTATAAAAGAGCTGTATTGTTTTTGGGCAAGGTAGGAACAGCCGTTGCTTCAGAAAAAGCAAAAAACTTTCCTCTCTTACGAATTATTCGAAACAAAAGTTCACTGTGATTTTTATAAAATTCAACTTTGGATGAAAATTTTTTTAAAAAACTTTGAAAGAAAGTTTGGGATATTCGTCAAGCTTCTTACCTTCGAACTTATATACATTCAAACTAATGCTGAGCGAAGCTCAGTTTACTCGTTAGCTTTATACCTTCAAACTTATGCTAAGCAAATCTTCTATCCATAAGACTTTTGATGGTACGGTGTGAATATAATTCGCATTGGGTTTCTACCCGATACACTAGTTTGTGGAACTTTTTATGAATCTTTAAATAATTAGAAAAATAAATTTAAAATTTTAATTGAATTTTTTTTTCGAATAAAATTACATTTCAAAGATTGATATCCTTCCAAAAAACACTGTGTAAGAATCCAAATTGACTCAGAAAATCCCATCAAATATTTATGATGACGATGACAAAGTTTAGTTAATGATAAGAGGATTTGTATGACTTTTCAAGAAAAAGGATTATTTAACTTTCAGGAAAGTTTTTCGTCGCAATCAAGTCAATATTAGTTGGCTTGCCATTTAGAAGTCATATTACTGTTGACAGATTTCTTATTGAGTTTATTGTATGCTGATAGATTTGAATTGTTATTGAAAACAAAGTAAACATTGAAATTGGAACTGCCACAAATGTTTTTGTGTCAAAAGTTTACTTCATGGCATTTCTAATATTAAATAATTTACGAACAAGATTCTATTGGCTCACACTCAAATTTTAGAAAGTTAACCGTGAATTAAATATCAAATTGGATCACAAATTCGTAAGTACTACAATAATCAAAATTAATCCTTTAATAAATAACATCTTCAATCCTTATTAACCGAAAAAGAAGAGATGAATGTTATTTTAATTCAATTTCCATGTCAATGTTTCCACTTCCAATTTTCGTTTCACATCTTCTTAATTAAAAATAAGGAGTATAAAGACATACTGCATGTTGCTACATCCCACTCAGCCTATTTATTCTAATTATAATTTTGTCCTTTGTGAAACAAATCTGTAACCAAGAATTGAAGCGATTTAGTCAAATTTAAAAGCCTAATAAAAATCATTGACACCACATACAAAAAGCTTCACCTGACTGTCAAAACATCATCCGGTATCAAAAATTATAAATTGGAGATTAGCGAAATTGATGTCTGTAGAAATTTTTTAAGATTGGAATACGATGATATAAAAAAAACTGATAATACTTCTATCGCAATTCAGATACTTCCATGTGCTTCAGTAAAAAAAAAAGCCAAGTAACTTTTCTCATTAAATTCTTTCAACCATTGCATCTTCCTTCATTTCCTTTCTCTTTATATTCGTAGATAACGAAAGCCTTAGCTACTTTTTGCTCTTAATGTTTTCATTCAAAATCATATTAAGTAGCTTCTCAATAAGAACCGCTGGTAAATGGGATCTTTTTCTATTATTTTATTTTATCGTTAATAAATTATGTATTCAGGAAAAGTTAAATATCCACCCACAGCAAAATTGCTCTCTCTAATTGAGGTTAGGGCTTATCAAGTTTCCAGGCAATTTTTAATTTTTGCGGACTGTTAAAACCATTCATTGGGGTTGTTCAAAAATTGATTAAGATCAAGATTGTCACAATAGTGTTCTCATACTCTTTTAGCTACAGCAAAGCTCTGATTCATTTCCAAAGTAACGTTACATAATCTGCTAACAGACCTAAATGGATTTAAGTTTAATACTCGATTGTTCTAAGAAAACTCATCATCTAGTTCCATTTTTATGATATAAAGGATCCTTTTTAAAATCCCTAAATATGCCTCCTACTTATTATGAATTTGTAAAATAATTTAAAACACTTAAAAGCTTTTAAGCTTCTCGTCTTTCCATCTCATGAAATTCTACCTCAAAGTGTACTTTAATCTCAATTGTTTGCATATTTTTCTGTATTTCATTATGTAGTGCTGAATAATGGAGAGGCAAGTTACGAGCTTCGAATTTTTTGCTGTGGTTATTTTAATTCTTAATTAATTGCATAAAATTCAGACTCCATCATCACTATCGTAGTCATTATCCTCTCAGTTTTCAATCGAGAAAAATTTATAAAGCTCTTTTTGCATTGACTATAATTGGATTCGATATTCCGGACCATTCATTGTACATACATTGAGCTTGTATACTTATACACACAACACATAGATTGCACAAACAATTATTTGACTTGATTCTCAAGCATTGTTCCCCATGAAAGCCAGAACCTTTTCAAAGCTTTGTTGGGTATTACATATCAGGACATGAATTTTTTGTGAGTTGTGGACATGTTCATTATGTAAACATCAACTTGTTTATTTTAATAAAAATTTCAAAGCCACAAATTGTGGACGTTTGTATGGAACAGTTTTTGAAAGTTTTAGACGTAATGTTACACAAAAATGATTCTTGTTGCTTTGGGCAGGTCAATTTTAAATTTAAAAACAGGAATCATTATATTTCGGTATTTGTGGATTAAAATTTGCATTGAAAGCATTCAACTAGTCGCATGCATATTCAAAATGCTTCTATATTTCCGATCTAGAATTTTACGCTCATTATTTTAAGAACAGAAATAAATTTCCAGAAGAATCTAATTTTCCATCATAAATTGCAATAAATCCTCTTTAGTTCCGTTTTCATAATTTTTGTTCATTTTACTTTTATATACTTTCAAATACCAAAGGTTGAATTATGCTCATGAAAATAAATCATGTAAATGTAAAGTTTTTGACTAATTATGCAGTATAAGTATCAGTTATTTTGCTAGGTTTTATCAAACCTTTGGTTTGGTCTAATATTAAGTTTGTAATAAAATTACACGTTACGATAAAAAAGGATATTGAAAACCTGCTCTCACTACCTTTCGTTATTCAATTTTAGCATTGGAAAAGTGGTTGAAATGGAAATGAAAAGCAAATTTAATTATTGAAATTTTTTTTTCCCCTGGTTTTCTTCCTCATTTAATTAAAAATTCATGAATGTAAATCATTTCAGATATTTAAATTCAGGTATTTTTTTTTTTCAGGTATTTAAATTTCGATAAACTGTTTATAAACTGAAACTCACTTGGTCACTGAATCTTTAGAAATTCCTTTAAATTACTGATTTTTCATTTTTTATCAAACTATATTCCATTCAATAATCCACAATAGCTTATGATTTACAAATTTTGTTATTCGTGTTATAAATCATAATAAAATTTTAAGAGGGTTCGAGAAGCTGATGTGTGATAAGTGAAATATTCACTGATAAAAGTTAAAAAAGCAACTTGAAACATTTATTGAATTTTCCAATTTTAAATTCTCGACACTTTTTTCTCTTCCTGTCTCCACCCTTTAATTTACACGAAATTCAATTAAATTACAATTTTTACGATGTGAATGCTTACACAATACACCGGAAATAAGAGAAACATTTCATTTCCTATTCCACTCATTTCAATCTTATGTCTCTACAATATTGCAATGTTGATTGACACTGCAATATTTGTTATTAGCATTTTTCACATCATTTCTATGCATCAGCTTTTGGTTGTATCGGTTGTATCACTGGCTTTTAAATGACTGTAATTGTATATTGTGAATGTAAAAAGATTTTAGCAATTAAATGTTATATGAACAACTGTAACATGTTGTTTTCCTTTTCTTTCCTCATATCTCCTGTTTTTGCATACCAATTATTGAGGAAGCAAATTGAATATTTTGATCATTTTGTACAGTCTATCTTTCAATTTTAATTCTTCTTCGGACCAATATAAAAGCAATTCTACTCAACTCAATCCATTCCTTAAAAAATGCACTCAAGAAAATTACTTCCATGATTTTCTCCCAACTTTGTTTTTTGGAACTTCCATAGCAGACGGAAAATTGAGAAAATAAAAAAGTTTTTTATTCATTTTAATTACCATTATTGCATTGACATAGTTAAAACTTCCCTTCTCTATCCTGTTACATACTACTCGTTTTTTATTACAGTTTCCATTTTAATTTACATTCCCATATTCATTTGCTTTTTTTTGTAGCTTTTTTTGCTCGAAAAGTTGTTTGGAAATTTGCAATAAAAAAAACAAATTTATATTTGAATGATAAAGTAGAACTTTGTGTTTGATGTAAAACTTTTTCAGGTCTAGTTAAACTTGTCTGGACAGAAAAATGTGGTTTTTAAACCAAAAAAGTACTGTTAATTTTTAATGTACTGTCAAACGCTTTTGTAAAAAAGTATTAAATGTTATTGTTCTGATATTCTGATAGATTACATCTGTTTACTATTTTTATTGATAGGATAGTTGTATTTGTACTGCATGTACTGAAAATAAAAACAATCTGACTGCATTTATAGTTTACTAAAGAAAATAAGCTGTTACTGAGTTTACAACCCCTCAATCGAAAGCTTACAG